CTAATTATATAACACCCTATCGATTAACATACATTTGTGGCAATAATATTTATGCATAAAATATATAGCTCTTCTCCACAAAGTATTCTGTTCCATGGCCGCCGAAAATTACTGCTCACAGTACGAAGAAACTAGAACTTTTTTAAACTGGACTGATTTTAACAACACTTTAGTTGACAACGAATTTTTTGTCTCCAAAATATTTTACTTGCTTATCCACCTACCGAATGTGATACCATAACATTATTTTGTTTGTGCGTAGTCAGAAAATTTATTAAATTCCAGCTGCTTTAAGATTCTGAAACACTGTGCGGCGTGTATGACCGTTAGCCGGTTTACCTCCCACTCCAAATTTTTAGGCGGGATTCGTTTTGTCGCTTTTCTCTGCTTTTCTCTGGCTTTTCTACGAATTGTTCTTCTCTGCTAACCAAATTTATGCGTTTTTAGCGCCACTGTCGTCATTTGGTGAACCCTTTATTCTTCCCAATTTGTGACCACTTTTTCAATAAGAGTCCCATAAGAGTTGTTTCTCCTTACCTCTACCATAGATTAGGTATCCTATAAGTATACAGCCTCTACACTCCATAGTGAGGAATCTCTCCACGAGAGATGGCACATGTTGACATGTTTTTTGAAACACCCTGTAGTAACTTTTACCACAGAATATACACGCAACAGAAAAATACTAGAAATGAAATAGCTAAAATAATTGCACTGAATGTAATCTAGTAAAATACTAAATATTATAATCAGAATATAATTGGAAATTTTGAACTTTCGGTTTTAGATCGACGGCACGTCGACGGCCTTGAAGCTCTGCTAAAAATGCACAGTTGCCAGATGGTACTATATTATGGTACCCCTTGATATGCGTCAATGTACCATAATATGACAATCTCACCAAAACTACCCAACCTACCCAAGTACCATATTTCAAATATGAGCCCAATTAAACGTCAGGAAGTGGTATCATAATACCCTAGTATCTTTTACCCTCAAAATTTCATTCGAAACGCTAAAAGCGGCTAAAAGTAAAAGTACTTAGAAGAAAATTATTTTAAATCGAAAAAATATTAAAGGTTGTCGCCCACTAGAACGCGGCGCGGCGCGGCGCTGGGAAGAGATTTTTTTCCGGCTGCGAAGGGACTGCGCCCACTATAGCGCGCTTTTGAAACGCGGCAACGCTATTTAGTTATAGTCGAAGTGTTTTTTACTTACTGTAGTTTAGTTTTTAAAGCAATGAGTTCAAGTACGGACGAAAGCGTATTTTTGTGCTCTTCTAACAGAGGAAGAGGAAGAGGGGGGTGAGGAAAAGTTTGGACTCATACGATTAACAAAAAAAGAAAGAAGTTTGGAGAATTTTACCATCTTTTTCCAGATTTAATAAAAGACAAAATCATTTTTTTCAGTATTATAAAATATAAAGGAAACATTTTACGCACTCCTCAATTGAGGGTTTTAGAAGATAAAACACCGGGTATATCTACTCATCTTATTTTTTCAGAAGAGACAAATTACTAATATTTTTGATAATTCTTATTTATTCTGATGTGTATATTAGTTATGTGGTCAAAAAAACCCTGATCTTTTTTTATATATTTAGGTAATTAGAATTTAAAAATTGGAGATTGTCACTTTTGTTAAAAGTGGAGATTGCCAGTTTGCCTCTACACCCTCAATTATATTAAATCTTTGATAGAAAGGCATTTCGTCCATCTGTCTCTAGTGAGGGAAGACTAAAAAAAAATATCATATTCCTTTATGAAAATCGATTTGCCTAATTTACCTTTAAAAATACAATTCTGCCATTAATACATATCACTAGTTCTTAGTCAAAAAGCCAACTGAAAAGACTCGAATGCAAAATTATTTCCCTTGTGAGTACGCACACTGCAACGCGCCGAAACGCGGGAGACGGAAAAAAGTTGCTAGAGAAGTCTTCCGACTTCTTGACGGAAATCCCGCGGCGCGCTCTAATGTGCGTTGGTCCATTTAAATACATGGCAAGCAGACAAAAGAAATTTCCACATGGCGCCGCGCCGCGTCGCGCCGCGGTCTAGTGGGCGACAAACCTTAAAGGTTGTCGCCCACTAGACCGCGGCGCAACGCGGCGCGGCGCCATGTGGAAATTTCTTTTGTCTGCTTGCCATGTATTTAAATAGACCAACGCACATTAGAGCGCGCAGCGCAGAAGCGCGCCACGGAATTTCCGTCAAGAAGTCGGAAGACTTCTCTAGCAACTTTTTTCCGTGTCCCGCGTTTCGGCGCGTTGCAGTGTGCGTACTCACAAGGGAGATAATTTTGCATTCGAGTCTTTTCAGTTGGCTTTTTGACTAGGAACTAGTGATATGTATCAATGGCAGAATTGTATTTTTAAAGGTAAATTAGGCAAATCGATTTTCATAAAAGGAATATGATATTTTTTTAGTCTTCCCTCACTAGAGACAGATGGACGAAATGCCTTTCTATCAAAGATTTAATATAATTGAGGGTGTAGAGGCAAAACTGGCAATCTCCACTTTTTAACAAAAGTGACATCTCCAATTTTTAAATTCTAATTACCTAAATATAAAAAAGATCAGGGTTTTTTGACCACATAACTAATATACACATCAGAATAAATAAGAATTATCAAAAATATTAGTAATTTGTCTCTTCTGAAAAATATGATGAGTAGATATACCTGGTGTTTTTTCTTCTAAAACCCTCAATTGAGGAGTGCGTAAAATGTTTCGCTTTATATTTTGTAATACTGAAAAAATGATTTTGTCTTTTATTAAATCTGGAAAAGATGGTAAAATTCTCCAAACTTCTTTCTTTTTTGTTAATCGTATGAGTCCAAACTTTTCCTCACCCCCTCTTCCTCTGTTAGAAGAGCACAAAACGCTTTCGTCCGTACTTGAACTCATTGCTTTAAAAACTAAACTACAGTAAGTAAAAAACACTTCGACTATAACTAAATAGCGTTGCCGCGTTTCAAAAGCGCGCTATAGTGGGCGCAGTCCCTTCGCAGCCGGAAAAAATTCTCTTCCCAGCGCCGCGCCGCGCAGCTGTCTAGTGGGCGACAACCTTAACTCGCTTTGGCGGGAACGCTACGCGCATACCGTCGCGCACGCCGCCATTAGGGTTTCCATCAACAGAAAGTAACCAGTGTCGTAGTTTTTTCAGCGACAACACACAGTTACGGCAGATTCGAGTCAGTAGCGTGCGGCTTAATTTATTTTGATTTTTTTCTTGAGTGATATATTTTGTTTTTGTTGTTTTATTTTTGTTTATTATGTGATATATTTGGTTTTTCTAGTTTTATTTTCGTTTCTTATGTAATATAGTTGCCAATAGGTGCCCGGTGGCGTAGAGGTACAGGCTCTCGTCTACCAATCTCAAGGTAGTGGGTTCGAATCCCACACCCGGCATTTCATCAGCCGACAATTTTTATTAAAATAAAAATAGTTTGGGTACCTAGGTCGACTCAGCTTTAAATGAGTACTTGGGATTCACAATCCTGAGGTAATAATAGACGGTTGAAGCGTAGTGTTAGCCACATTACCTTCCTTTGTATACCGAACGGCTCTAGTATGGCAAGCTGTACCTTGCTACTCCCAAGGCGTCAAACGCTATATACGGGAGCTATTATTATTATTATGTAATATAATTTGTTTTAGTAGTTTTATTTTTGTTGTTCAATAAAAGCTTCTTTCGTAGAGATCCTATTAGGTATGTATATATGTGATTAATTATTTTAACATATTTTAGTTGTGAAAAAACACAGTAGTATACATATTAGGACATTCAGCTAAATAGGAAGATCTAATTAAAAATCTTAACAAACTTTAATATTAGTAAGATTTAATGTTAAATATTTAGTAAAATAAAATTTAATGTTGTATCTAGAATCTAGACATTAAAAATTCAATTTAAAAATCATTATATTATTCATTTAAATATAATTATAAAAATAAATAAAATGAGTATATCGAAAATAAGTTAACAATACATTTTTAGGGTAAGAACATGGGCAATTGCAGCTAACGGAGAAGACTTGATTGAAGATATAAATAAGGCCCACAAGTACAGGTTGTGTTCTGTTCACTTTGAATTTAAAATGTTTACCAATTCACTTTGTAACCGTATAAAATACAATGCGGTACCTACTTTGTTTCCTGCCATGAAAAAAATAGAAGTTTCTCAAAAAAAATTGTGGATTTATTAATTTGTGAAATTTGAATATTAATAAAATTTGCTACGCCCATTGATGGGCATAATTTGTACGTAGCCTCTTTATATTGTTCAATAAATATTTTATTGGTATTTTTTTAATTCTTGTTTGTAACTCCTGGCATGTTTTTGTTAGATGCATGTTTTTTAATTTTAATTTTCTATTCTCTACAGTGAAATATTTAATTGATTTTTTCATTTTTACTTTTCGAGGAGTATGCGCGGTTAACGATTCATTTGTTTGGACAACAGTATTGTAAATAAAATTCAGTTTCAGTCAATTACAGTATTTTTTTAATACGACCCTGTCGTATTTTCTGAGAAATTTTTTAATACGTTTTAATCCGGCCCTGACTAGGAAACCATAATGGCGCCGACAAGGTCAAATTTTATAGAAATTTTAAACAATCTGAGTGGAATCTGAGTAGAGTTGGCGTGCCGATTGTTTTATGTGCCCTGGTAGCTACTTTATAAAGCAGAATCGGACCTTTACCTTATGTTGATAAATTAGATTATATTACAGTTGATATGAAAAATAAATCTTATTTTTACGTGAGGAATCTCTCCACGAGAGATGGCGCATGTTTTTTTTGAAACACTCTTGTCTAAGGAAACACCCTATATAAAATTATTAAAATTATAGATTAAAATTATTGATTGTTGCGCCATCTTGACATTAATTTTAGAACTTGTATTTTAACGATATCTGTTAAACGTTGTAGTCTAAAGGTTACCTCATAGATGACCAATTTTTTCAAGGTCTTTAAAAAACTGTTAGACGCCATTGACGCAAGATTGACGCCAAAAGAATTTATAGGTTATAAATGCTGATAAATGTAACAATTTACAGCTTTTTATTAATTTTAAGAGTTTACCTACAAGTTTTAAATGCTTTATTAATATTTTTAATCATTCAAGGATGATTTGTCGATTGTGTAGATCTACTGAAAATTTAATTTCGATGTTTTGTGGAAAATCAAAAGAGTTGAGAAACTTTATAAGGAAAATCATAGATGATACCCTGCAGATACAGGTAATATTATAGAAAAGAAAATGTTTTACATATTGACACTGACTAAAAATTAACTGAGAACTTAAAAAATAAAATATTGTAATGAATTTTGTTTGTTACATTGAAAAAATCTTATTTTATTGGTAATGTTTGAATCTCGGTTTCAATAGAAAATTATCGGTAATATTAATTACTCACACTATAGTAAATAATTTGTGAGTTATTACTGTTTTTTTTACAGATACTTGAATCGGATCTTACTACAGTGGTTTGCATCAATTGTTGTCTGGATAGTGTTAATTTTTTCTATTTCAAAGAAAACTGTTCCAAGTTGCAAGAACAGCTAACTGTAAGAAATAAAATTATGAAGTAATTTTTAAATGAAATAATTATTCTTTTAGACAATAGATGTACATTCTAAGGCCAAAATTTCAAAGCCCAATTTTGAAAAACCTAATTTAAGTGACATACCCAAACCTAACTTGAAAAGTACCGAAGAAGTGTTGAGCTGGCTACAGTCAAAATGTGTTCAAATAACAGAAGACCAAGAAAGTAATGTGCCTATTCAAAATGAACTAAAGAATATCTCTAACAACAGCACTCAAACTGAGGTAGTCAAAACTCAATGCCAAGAATCTCAAAGTATATCTGTTAAATTATGTGATGTACAGGTTCAATACAATAATGTAAATATTACCGATAGTAAAATGAGTCAAACTGATTCGATTCCTTATGAAACTAAGGCTGTTCAAGCTACACTTAAGGTCAGTTCTAATGATAAGTTCACTCAAGTGTCCAATAATTGTGTTGAAAACAAAACAACAAAAAAAAATAATGCACGTGAAAGAGACTTTAAAATGATGGGTCATGACTTTCCAGTTTCCAAGAAAAATAAGGCTGTGCAAACTACAATTGAAACACTTTCTTCTAGCAAAGAAGAGACCAAAGCTATTACAAAATTCAATGGCATAAAGCATAAAAAATCCCCCAGTAGTGGCAGTGGCAGCTTCAACAAATGTATAGTATTAAAAAGAAATTTAGACTTAAGGAAAAGTTTACCTAAGAAAAGACTAAGCTTTACTAGTAAAGATGATGAAATTTTCGAAAGTGGTCCTGATAAAAAAGGCATAGTTTTACCCGACACAAATGAAAATACTAAGGGACACTTGAATAAAGATGAAGAAGGCATTAAAGATTTACCTGACACAAATGAATATACTAACGGGAATTTGAGTAAAGATGCAGAAGGCACTACAGATTTAACTGAAAAAGATAATTTGCTTTCAGTAAAGGATGCATCACCAGAAAGTAGTAATGTTGTTTTTTATGACAAGTCTCCAGAAATTGTCTATACTAGAATAGAGAATCCTAGCTTATGCAGTGTGTGTTCAAAGCCCTATTTAAATATAAGTGATTTGAGGTATCATTACAGGACTCACAGGGAATGTTTTGTTTGTAAGAAAAAATTTCGCTCCATAAAATTGCTAATTAACCACCTGAATAAATGTAAGATGACACTGACCAACTCAGATATGTTACCATTGGTCGAATTAAACAAAGCCGAACATGTACCAGCAATGGTTTATCAATATCCGGAAGCCTTCATGTGGTTAAAAGAATCTGGTAGTAAAAAATAAGATTTCTTCATTCTACTATAGGAATGTTACCAGTGATCCATCTTTTAGATATATTTTTTAAAATTTTTGTTTTTATTTACATTGTTCTTTTTTTGTTATACAAAAAATAACCCGTTAGTAACAAGTTTTTGGTTCAATAAACATTATGAATTTTTGTTCATCAAAATTTTGTAACATATGTATATGTATGTTAGCAATACATACAAAAATGTTTATTTTATGTCTATAAAAAATTTAAACAATTGTTTGATTTATAGCTCAGTATTTATCTGATTTTAAGTAGAAATATTAAATATTTTTACTTAAAATCAGACTATACTCTATACCCTGTCTAAATTTTATACATGGTGTTTCAAAAAACGTGTACCATCTTTTGTGGGGAGATTCCTCACGTAAAAATAAGATTTATTTTTCATATCAACATAGGTCCGATTCTGCTTTGTTTCATAGCTTCAGAGTGTTAAAGTCTTTATATTTTTTCGATTTATTATAATTTTTTTCTAAGTACTTTTAGCGTTTCGAATAAAATTTTGAGGGTAAAAGTTACTATAAACGCGACATATTTTAAAGCTAAAAAAGTGTCGACATATTTGCCAGGGACGTGCGTATGGGTTATCAGTGGAATATTTTTCTAAAAAAGCATGTACGCCACTGACTTTTCTCTTGTTAACGAAATAGTGTAAGCAGTTTATGCCGATTAAAAGTAGTCTCTTGATATTTTGTCGATTTTGGCCTCCTTGATGAGATAAAAGCAATTTTATTAATTGGCCTGGTTCATTAATAGCAACCTTTAAAAATTTTTGATATCAATAACTTTTCGAAAGTTTTAAATAGGTACTCATTGATTCCTCATCAAAAAATTTGAAAAAAAAATCCTATAAACATGGATATTGGAAATGCATTTTGTTTTAGAATTACAGGATGTTAAAACTTTTCGTAATTAGTTTTTTTGTAATTATCTTAAATACCATTATTTTTTTTAGTTGAAATTGCGGTAGGTTTGCAATTTTATTTTTAGTTTAATGTTATTGTGATTAATAAAATTGGGCGTTTATCTCATCAAGGAGACCGAATTCGACAAAATATCAAGAGATAACTTTTAATTGGCATAAATCGGCCTACATAATTTTGATATCAAAAGAAAAAAGCCAGTGGCGCACATGTTTTTTTTTGAAAAATATTTTAGTGATAACCCATAATATGCACGTCCCTGATGAATTTATCCACGCTTTTTTAGCATTAAAATATGTAGCACTTATAGTAACTTTTACCCTCAAAATTTCATTGGAATGGCTAAAAGTACTTGGAAGAAAATTATAATAAATCGAAAGATTATTAAGTCATTAACACCCTGTATCTACGAAACAAGGCAGAATAGGACCTATGCTGATATGAAAAATAAATCTTATTTTTACGTGAGGAATCTACCGAGAGATGGCACATGTTTATTGAAACACCCTGTATAACAATTACACTTTGAGTTTACTAATATACAGGCTGTCAAAATCAAAATAATAAGGTGTTGGAATCAATATGATTTCATTGGACACAATTACCTCTATACAAAAGTCAAACAAAATCTATACAAAACGGCGTCCAGTTGGCTGGGAAATGACAATAGATGACATTTCCCATATAAAATGACAGCGATCTTCATAGCCATCGCTGACGCCGTTTTTTTCGATCATACGGTACTTCGTGTGTCGGTTAGAGGGCATCAAACTTTAAAAAAATAAATGAGTTTTCAGATATTTTAAGAACCGTTATTCTGATTTGAACGAGATTTTGGGTGTCTATGTTGTGCTAAGTGCTTTAACTTCCACAAAAATCAAGGAAACGTACGGGAAAGGTGAAAACTACCCCCACCCCTATATAAATTTTAGTATAAATATTTTCCAACTTAACCGACGAGCGATTTTTTTTCGTAAAATGGTCCTTCTAGTATTTGCTACTTTTTTGTCCCTTGTAAAAACGCCACCGCGCATACTTTTTGAGGAAAAAAATTATATTTCCGAAGCTGACTTCTAAAAAATGTTTTTGTCAGATCGAGCTATGGAGGCGCATACATTTTTTATGCTCTAATAATCCATTTGGCGAAAATATAGAATTTTGTATTAGAATCACAAAGTATATTTGTCAATAAGCTTCATAAAAAGCCTAAAATAATTAATAAATTTAAATTAATTAACTTTCGAATTCATTTTTGATTGGTGCCATCTAACGGAGAAACAAAGCATGTTTGTATAGAGGTAAATTATGTACAATTAACTTACTTTTATTCAGAAAATACGTAGTTGTTCTATGTCCACGGAATCTTGGAACTCTCTGTATATTTTATAGGTCTGCTTTGGAAAAATAAATTTTCCAAATTTTTTTTCTGAAAAACTATGCAATGTGGCGTTTTTTTACAAGCGACAAAAAATGTTAGAGTGGCCATTTTATAAAAAGAGAATATGTCGTCGGTTGAGTTGGAAAATATTTATACTAAAATTTATTTAGGGTGGGGGGTAGTTTTCACCCTTCCCGTACTTTTTCTTGATTTTTGTAAAAGTAAAATGTTATAGCACTTAGTAAAACATAAACACCAAAAATTTCATTCAAATCGGAATAACAGTTTTTAAAAAATCTGAAAAAATGTGTAATTTTTTTAAAAGTTTTGATGCCTTCTAGCGGTCCTACGAAACACTTTTGTGTCCAATGACTTATTTTGATTCCAAAAATACGAAGTAGTTCTACGTCCACGTAAAATGGGGACACCCTGTATTTTAAAATTGTTTAATATTTTTTTTTAAATGTTACCAAAATATTCTTCGAGTTTAGTGAATATATATTATTCAATAACCTTTGATATAAAAGTTACTAGTTTTATCTCTTTTATAGAATCACTATACCAAACATACCAAACAATCTGTCTATACCAAACAATACAGTGTATTTTTATCTGAACCATTTAGTACATAACAGCTATCGCAATTTAGGCTACCTAAGTTTGGGCTAAACGATATTTACTTTATTAAATTCATTTTGTATCTAAATAAAAATAAGAGTTTTAAGCTACAAATTTTGCTTCATTAATAGTTTTCATACTATTATTAATATTGGCCTACACTAACTTTGCAAATAAATTCACAAAGAAAAACGGTCTAATCCACATTTTTTTAGTAATCAACATTTATTATACATACTTATGTATACTTATCTTTTAGTTTATTAGGTCTTTAAGCAAATATTTGGAGCAATATATCAAAATAATGTTAGAAAATTAAACCATAATTAAACTATTTAAAGGCTGTGAAATTCACAACAAAGGGAAAAAAATTATCGAGTCGGAACTACTTCAGCATTACCAATATCAAAAGGTAATTTTTTAACTTCTAATAACAGTCATGGCGGCAAATTATACAAATCCTCCTTAGGTATATATGCAAAAAATCCAGTTACGTAGTTGGTGACAAAACATTAAAAAAGTTTAAAAAGAAAAGTTGTTTGGAATTAGAGGCGCATATACGGGAAAGGTACGGGGGTAATAAGATAAAATGTAGTAACAAATAAAATTGTTACAAAAGAAGTTAATAATTAATACTTATCAAAAATAGAAAGTCCAAACTAATCCAAGTATATTTTTTTCCATAATATCAATATCTTTCAGCGAAAATTTAATGTAAATTTAGCACTTTATTTAAATATTCCCACTACCCCTTTCAGACTCAATCTCTAGATGCGCCAATGTTGGGAATTTGATTTTGACGTCTATATCAAACCAATTATACAGGGTGAGTCATAAATAAGTGCAAAAGAAAAATATACAAAAAAGAATATTATAATTTTAAAACATTCTTTGGTAGTATATTTGAACCTCCGAAACATGTCTATAAGGTTTTTCGCAGAAACAAAAAAAAAAGAAAATTAGGAATTTTTGAAATTGAAAAAAAAATATTTTTTTTTATTTCAAGTCAAAAATCATAATATCTTCATAACATAGCAATATAAATAGTAGATTAAATTCACAAGAAAGAAAACTCGGAAAAGACACAATGGTTTTCAATATTTAACAAAAAAAAATTCCCTAAATTTTCAAAGTAAAATATCTTGGTTATTTTGCAGAGTTATTTGAAAAACAGTAAAGAGAAAATATGTTTTTTTATCGAGATCTACCAGCCCTGAATATATTTGCACATATATAAGACTCACCCTGTATACCTAATAAATACCGAGATAAATACTATATACTATACCACCGTTTAATTAATTCTACGTCTTAGTTAATATTCAAAAAGTTCCTCAGAACTTATGACCGAGAAAAATCAAAGGTTTTCCTTGATTTAAGTAAAAACAATCTTCGGATTGTCACGGGGTTTCTAACAGGACACTGTCTCCTCAACGAACACCTCAGTAGGCTGAAACAGAAACAACGGCGAATGCAGATTTTGTGGGGAAAATGGGGAAACACCAGAACACTTTATCACTGAGTGCGCCGAGACGACGACCATTCATGCCATGAACATTGGTACGTCTGATGTCGAGGATGGAGAGCTGGCCTCTGTGGAGCCGTCTCAGATACTGGCTTTTGTTAAAGCCCTGAGACTGTATGATGAGTTATAACTCGTTATAACTCAAGAAAGGGGAACACACAATAGATCTATAAGATCGCGGTGATTAACTCCCCTCCTAAGCATTCTACATTCTAGTTAATATTCGGTGACTATACTCTATGAATAAACACCTACAATAAACTATCAAAAATATATTTTTATATTTTTCATATTTAAATTTTTATTTTTTGCTAAAATTACATGAAACAAATAAATCGAGCCAGATTGATTTTTGATCCAATATTATTTGTTTACAGTCGTTACCGTAAATAATAATCGCAAAAGTCAAAAATATAAATTTTTAGGATTCATATCTTTTGCAATTGCTTATAGAAAAGAATAACTCTTAAGGTACATTCAGTCTGAGAGCGTCGCGTCCGCCCCATTGAATTCGACCCCCGACGCTTAGTGGACGCTAGAGCAACGCCAAACGCGACGCTGTCTGCCTAAACGGTCTAATTTAAGTTAAGTGAATTGATTTCAATTCGACACGCTGAGGCGAAGCAAACGCGACGCGACGCTCGACGCTCTCAGCCTGAGTGTACCTTTATGCATTTTTTTATTTAGAATTTTTATTCTTTCAGAATTTTTACTTTCGACAGGACATTGTAAAAGTGAGGTAGTCCAATATAATTATCTTTTTTAGTTTT